AACCAAGTATAATCCTTAGCTTTTCAAAAGATGATTGGGCTGTTTTCTTCCCATATCTCACAAGAGAACAATTCATGTGTGGCAATAACTTATACTGACAACATGCATTATCAACTGTCCTGCTGAATGTTTTCATATATAATCCTGAGATAAATCGAAAAGCTATATTAGAAACACTTTTTATTAACAAAATCATTTGAGTGTGTTTGCAAAATATATTAAAATGTCTTTCTATTGTAATTATTTCTCTTATGACCATGCATTTGAAACACTTCAGCTGGGCAAGTATCAATGATAACCTAATGCAGGTCCATTATAAGTTGTGCCAAAAATCAGGTATGATCTTTTGTCTCTCCTCAAATTCGCTGGTTTTTTTGGGCTTTTTTGTGGGGTGGGGGGGGGGATTGTTTCTAGATTCTACTTGTGGAACAATATTTAAGCTTATTTATAGTTATGGTAAGTTAAGATTTTATTCTGTGTATAATTGAAAAATGCCATGTAAACATTTAAATGCTTGTTTCAGAATTTGTAAAGAGAAAAACCGAGATACACTTTGTTTATAAAATCAAACCGGAGGACTACATTTTATACTTCAACACAAATATTACATAAAGATTAAATGTGTGGCTCTCCAGCAGTATCTGGATTGCATCCTTCGCCATCTCTCTCGGTGGGCAATGCTTCTGAGGTTGGCGCTGTTCAACACAATCAGGAGGACCATACATTTCCTTCCCCAACTAAAATTGCTGTGGACAGGTACAGCGTACTTGCTGGGTTTCCAAATAGTTCACTGGTTGTAAAGAGTCTTGCTGAACCAAGCAAAGGGGCCACCAGTAACTAATTTCCTAAAGGAGAAAGCAAAATTCCCCACAAGTGTTACAAAAGATATTTAAGTAGGCACATCTCCACAGCCCAGGACCTAAATCCTGTTGTTTTAGTGCTCGCTAGAGTAGATCCACTGCACCAATGGGATTTATGTATGTGTTGGCTCACCAATCAATTAAATGTATCTACTCCAGTTTCATTGCTAGGAGTTCTCACCGTGAACTCACATCTCCTCTCAGCTTTCTCTTCTTCAGGCTAAATATGCCCAGCTCTTTAAGCTGCTCTTCATAGGGCTTGTTCTCCAGATCCTTGATCATTTTAGTCGCCCTCCTCTGGACACATTCCAGCTTCTCAATATCTCTCTTGAATTGTGGTGCCCAGAATTGGACACAATATTCCAGGTGTGGTCTAACCAAGGCAGAATAGAGGGGTAGCATTACTTCCCTAGATGAGTGATAGTTTGTGCAGTTCAGACCAGGACAGGACAGCCTCTCCATTTTTATCCTCTTGAGCATAGCTCCATACGTGGCTATGGCTGTTGAAGGCCCCAATTACTACTGCCTTTTGGTGCCTGTCAAAGTTCTTGGGGGAGGAGAAGCAGAACTCTTCATTTGGGGGCTTGTACACAGAGGTGATGGTGAAGTTATTAAGCTCTACTGTTAGAACCTCGATATTATTTTCTTCAGTATTGTGGGCACTGCTGACTTGGAGGCCTGGTTTGACAAAGACAGCACTTCCATACTGCACATGTGGTCTTTCCGCTACAAGGATCATTCCTGGAACTTTGGGTCATTTCTGTCGTTCATCCCTGTGTGTTTCTTGGACACACAGCACATCACATTTCTTATCTCGGCACAGTTCATAGAGCAGTTGTTCTTTGGCAGCTGACATGCCTTTGGTGTTGATTGACATTATTGTCATGGTTGGTCCTGAAAAGGGCTGTTGGTTGTTTTGCTTTCTTGTTTGCATGCTGCAAGTCGTCTCTGGTTGCTTCTGGATCGAGAGAATCGGCCGTCTACGAAGGCGTTGCCCAGGGGACGCCCAGATGTCTTGCAATCCTGCAAGGAGGCTTCTCTCATGTCCCTTAATAAAATCTTACAACATGTTCTCTCATGTTGTAGCAAGCTCCCACCATCCTACAACAGCGGGAGATGGCACCGAGGTTATAACCCAGACCTCTTATTTGTGAGCGACAGCATTGTACAGCAATGCACTAAATCAGTGGGACCACCAATTCCAAACACACAGCACCGACCAATAATATGCCAACTGTTCCCAACAATAAGGCCTCAGGAAGTTCGATTTAAACGAAGATACAACTTCAGAAAGGCAGATTGGACTAAATTCTCAGACATGTTAGATGACATGATCACATCGGTCGCGCCAATCCCTGAGGAATACGAGCATTTTATTGAAATAGTGAAAACCTGCTCACGGGCCTCCATACCGAGAGGCTGCAGAACCAACTACCTTCAGGGCATTACTCCTGAAACAGCTGCCTTGTTGGAAAACTATTACAGGCTCCACAACGAAGACCCATTTAGTGAGCAAACCCTTCAGGCAGCGCAGAGCATTGTGTCCTCCATCTCTGAAGCCAAGAAAGAACAGTGGATCAAGTTGATCACAGAGGTCGACATGGGCAGGAGCAGCCAGAAGGCGTGGAGGCTGCTGAGATGGCTGAGCAACAACCCCTCACAAACTAATAGCCATGCCAACATAAAGGCAGATCAGATAGCACACCAACTCTTGAAGAATGGGAAACCCAACTTTGCCACCAAAGTTCGAAAGAAACCAATAGCCAGACAACCAGAGATTGAGAACAACAACCTCCATGAACCTTTTACATCTACTGAATTGGACATGGCTCTCAACAAATGTAAGAATGGCAAAGCAGCTGACTTGGATGATCTACGGATGGAACAAATCAAGAACTTTGGTCCAAAAGCAAGGCACTGGCTGCTGGAGCTGATGAACAACTGCACTGCATCCTGTCAGATCCCCAAAATCTGGAGGAAAGCAAGAGTCATCGCCATCTTGAAGCCAGGCAAAGACCGTAATGACCCAAAAAGCTACAGACCAATCTCCCTGTTGTGCCACCTCTACAAAGTTCTGGAGAGACTTATTTTGCATAGAATTATGGAAAATATAGACCCTGTCTGATCCCACAGCAAGCTGGCTTCAGAAAAGGCAAAAGCTGCACATCGCAAGTGCTGAACCTGACTCAGCACATAGAAGATGGCTTTGAAAGGCAGCAGATCACAGGAGCTGTCTTCATAGACCTGTCAGCAGCCTATGATACTGTGAACCACCGCCTCCTGAGAAAAATGTATAATATCACAAAGGACTACCACCTCACCCGCCTCATAGGAAACCTGCTACAAAACAGGAGCTTCTTTGTTGAGTTCCAGGGCCAGAGAAGCAGATGGCGGAAACAGAAGAACGGCCTGCCTCAGGGGAGAGTGCTTGCTCCATCCATGTTCAACATCTACACAAATGACCAGCCACTGCCAGAAGGACAGAGAGTTTCATCTATGCTGATGATTGTGCCATTACCACTCAAGCAGGGAGCTTTGAGATGGTTGAACAGAAGCTCTCCGAAGCTCTAGGTGCTCTTACTGCCTATTACAGGGAAAACCAACTGATCCCTAATCCATCTAAAACACAGACATGCGCCTTTCACCTTAAGAACAGACAAGCATCCCGAGCTCTGAGGATTACCTGGGAAGGGATCCCACTGGAGCATTGCAACACACCCAAATACCTGGGAGTCACTTTGGACCGTGCTCTGACCTACAAGAAGCACTGCCTGAACATCAAGCAAAAAGTGGGCGCTAGAAACAACATCATACGAAAGCTGACTGGCACAACCTGGGGATCACAACCAGACACAGTGAAGACATCTGCCCTTGCGCTATGCTACTCTGCTGCTGAGTATGCATGCCCAGTGTGGAACACATCTCACCACGCTAAAACAGTAGATGTGGCTCTTAATGAGACATGCCGCATTATCACGGGGTGTCTGCGCCCTACACCACTGGAGAAATTACACTGCTTAGCCGGTATTGCACCACCTGACATCCGCCGGGAAGTAGCAGCCAATAGTGAAAGGACCAAGGCAGAGACATCTCCAGCTCATCCCCTGTTTGGGTATCAGCCAGCACGTCAACGACTTAAATCAAGACATAGTTTTCTTAGATCTACAGAGACACTCGCTGGAACACCCCAGCAAGCGAGAGTCCAAAAGTGGCAGGCCCAAACCCAGCACCTCAATCCATGGGTGATACCAGATGAGAGGCTCCCCCCTGGGCACACAGAAGACTGGGCGACTTGGAAGGCGCTGAACAGACTGCGCTCTGGCACCACGAGATGCAGAGCCAATCTTAAGAAATGGGGCCACAAAGTGGAATCCACAACATGCGAGTGTGGAGAAGAGCAAACCACTGACCACCTTTTGCAATGCAACCTAAGCTCTGCTACATGCACAATGGAGGACCTTCTTGCGGCAACACCAGAGGCACTCCAAGTGGCCAGATACTGGTCAAAGGACATTTAACCAACTACCAAGTTTGCAAAATCTGTGTGTTTTTTTTCTTTTTAATCTGTGTGTTTGTTTTGTTCTGTTAGAATTGTAACACAATGGTATGGTTGCTGATGACACTATGCTCCTATTGATGCAGGCCAAAATCCCATTGGCTTCTTTTGCTGCCACATGACATTGTTGGCTCATGTTTAACTTGCTGTCCACAATGACTCCAAGATTGTTTTCACATGTACTGCTCTCGAGCCAGGCGTCCCCCATTCTGTATCTTTGCATTTCATTTTTTCTGCCTAATGGAGTACCTTGCATTTGTCCCTGTTGAAATTTAATGCCAGAATGTGAAACCTCTCACCCTTAAGATGGTTTTGACTTCAGCTTCTATGATTTACTTGTCATTGGCCATGCTAATTGTTCCTCTTGGGGATCTGAAGTCCATCATATCTGAAGTCCGTCAATAAAAGGTGGCAGAGCCCCAAGCCACACTATTCTGCCTTTCTGGCAGATACTGATTAGAAGCTTTCTGCTAGTAAAAATGAAAATTGCATGTTCTCACTTTCCTTAGCTTGTCCCTAGTTCCTTGTTCAAGGTCAACTCAATGCTGTTGATTTCATATTCAAATAAGTGAGACTAGAACAACAAAAAAGCAAAACAATATTTTTATTAATAAAAGATCTGTAAAAAGAAAACATTTACACGTGAAATAATGTTTGAAGTTATTCTGAAAAGTTAAAGCAATTCAATAAGTCCACAAGACTTTCCATAGAGGAAAATAACACTCCTAAATTAAAGCGGCACCATATATAAATGAAAAAGATGTTTCACAACTCATAAAAGGCTAAACTCATACAAATATTTAAAAAGACCTGTACAACAATTATTTCCATACTTCTATATTCTGCATAGCACTGGAAAAAGGTAGACAGCAAAAGTACCGGCATCTGGACGCCTGGGATCCAGAATCAAGGACAAGACTGGCCAGATTCTGCTTGTAATTTTATCTCATCTTTTCTCAGAGGGAAAGTGTCAATGAGAGTAAAGAGCTCAGCAGGGGTTGCTGGGAAAGGATATCGCTCTTTGTCCACACCATGTTTGTCAACTACCACCATATTGAAGTTATAGTGGGGAATACGAAGTAACAGCCTAAAGATGTGAAAAAAATAAAGAATTAGATTTGTTTGTGTTGTGTACATACGATTTGAACTGTATAGTCCTCTATCTTGCCCAGTGATATCTTACATTACTTCCCATTAATGTATTTGTCAACATAAAAGAAGGAATAGCCCCCTTTTTGGACATGGAATAAAAGCCAAGAGAGTGTGCAATTACAGCTTTTACATATATTGAGACAGTATATTCATTGCTGGAAGGAAGCATTTTATCTTGCATGGTTCAAATTAGAAAATAATGGGCAAATATGAGGGGCAGTCTTTGGGACCTACTGTTAAATAAGTTTTAATTTACCTGAGTTGCAAAGCAAGGGCAGGAGGCATCAGTCTTAATCCTATTCTTCCAATCTGTGCTGGATAGACCCCAACCAACTCAATCACTGTAACATGTCGGAGATCAAGCCCACACAGTGCTGGCTAAAATAAATAAGATAAGACATGGATAAAGACATGAAGCAAATTAATTTACGACAGAAATAATATCTATAAAAATGCTGTATTTGGTGGTCTGGAAGAGAGGTATTTTGCATATTTTATACGCAGAGACGGCCCTAGGTAATTTTCAATGGTAAGCAAACAGTATTTTGGCTCCCCCCCTCCCCCGCCAAACCAATCACTGATATATATTTTCTGTTCATCATGGAAGTTCTGTGTGCCATATTTGGTTCAATTCCATCATTGGTGGGGTTCAGAATGCTCTTTGATTTTAGGTGAACTATACACCCCAGTAACTACAACTTGCATATGTCAAGGTCTGTTTTCCTCCAAGAGCACCTCAAGAGTGCCCCTGGGCAAAATCAACTATACTGCAAAGGCTTACTTTGCATAATGGTTGAGCCGTCCCTGTTTATACGTTAAGTAATTAATTTTTTTTTACAATAGGCTTCATCCAAGAAAGACTACATGTATTCAGGACTACACTAGTGGATTCACCACTGGATTAAGAAACATGAGAGCCCCAGTCTTTAAAGATTGTAAAAATAGGGTTAAAGAGAGAATGGATATTTCTTTCTTTTTTAAAAAAAACCCAGTTTCATATACTCAGATTTTTCTTGTTACTAATACTGGTATCAAATTGGAAGCAATGCAGGAAAAGGTAATAATTTTAAGCCATCTCTTACATTAAAAGCAAAGACCCAGCTTCAAAGGGATTATTAAAAGCAAATACCTACCTTCTGAAGAAAGCAGATATGCTTACATTTCCTAGTTAAGTTTGTACAATGTTTCTATCTATAGAGTAAATTTTGAGGCATTATGAGCTGAACTTTTTCAGTCTGGTTTGGAGATTCTCATACATGCCCTTCCCATATCCACTCTGAAAGATTGGAGGTCTCAGAATGGAGTGGGGAATTGCTCCAGATGCAGCCTCTTCTAAGGAGCTCATAACATTGATGAGGGACAGCGGAGATTCACCAGCCTCTGTGGTGAATCTGCAAGGTGGCGGAGTAATCCTGTCAGCCTGCACCCCGCCTCACCCACAGCAACACTTCCCTCCACGTTGGCACTGTTGCTCCGTACAGAACAAAGGAAGCCTCCCATGTTCTGGGCGAAATGTTGTAGGACGCTTGCACCACAGTTAATCTATGGAGCCCTGTCAGAAATGAGTGTCCATCGTGTGATGGGCACCACAGTGTAGGGCTCCATAGATGAAGTGCGCCTCATGACTCTTGCGAAGTGGCATATCACTTGATCTTCTAATCCATTATTTATATTAAACTGAAGGTAGGAAGTAATGTTAGTGGCCACAGTTCATCTATATTGCTTTTGGAGAAGAACTGACTTCATACCTAGTAAAGGGGCTTGTGCTTACCTGCAGCATTCCCAGTTGCAGTCTATAAAAATAATTGGCTGCAGTTGGAGTTGATATGATGAGCAGCCTTCGTTTCTCATAAAACTGATCCAAGAGGGCTGCTGCTGTCCTTACACCGACATTAATGCTCATGGCTGAAATTACATGCAAAAATAATGTATTCACTCAGGTGGAATAATTGAGAAAATGATTTAGAATAAGAATAAGCAACTTATGACCTACCAAATGTTGCTGGATTGTCCCTCCCACATCCTACAGTGAAGGATGATTGGACTTGCAGCCCAACAATACCTGAATGACTAGACATTGTTCACAACGGATGTAAAGTATTCAGATCAAATAGAAATAAAATTGAAAGTGAAAAGGTATTAACTCATAGCATTGTTTTAAATGCTAGCTCTATTCAAAACAGGAGATAGCCACTGTGTTGTTGTGGTTTGAGCATTGGATTACAAATCTGGAAACTATGGTTTGCATCCCTGCTAAACCATGGAAATCCCCTGGGTGATCTTGGGCAGGTTACACTCAGGCTCAGAAGAAGACAAAAGCAAACCCCCTCTGAAAAAATCTTATGAAGAAAACCCTGTTGGGATCCCTTGCAGGACACAGACCCTTGATTTTATGACTGCACAGTATCTCCTCTACCAGTAAACAATGAAGTAAATTTTAAATGCAGTTGGTCAGCTTAATAGTTCTTCAATCTAGGCCTACAAAGAGAGTCTGAAACTACAGAGAGCAGTATTTTACATCAGTTGTGTGTATGTTTTAAATATGCATACAAATTTCAAGGCATAACTTTAATAGAGGAAATCCAAAAGTAATCCAAATATACAAAGATTTCAACCCTGCAAATCTTTGCTTGACTGCTGCACTATCATTGATCTTTGGCTTCCCACAATAAATATAGCAATGTGACAGTTATTGATGATACTGTAGTAAATATCTAAGTAACCAGAATAGAAGAGAAAAGTATGCTTAAATCTTTTCACTCTCAAACTGTAACAAATTGCTTTTTCTCACAGATGCTAAATGATATCTACTCTGCCAATATTTATGATACCCCAGAAGAATGTGGGTGGTTGCGTGGTAATTAATTCCTATCAAGAACAAGCAACTAATCAATAGAATAAGAATAGTGTTCAATGAAATTCCCTAAGTTACAGTGGGGAAAAAAATCCACAAATAATGGCTGTAGCCAGATAATCATTTATCAATGTATTCTTGTATTCAAAGAAAGATCTCCATTTTATCTCTGAGCACAGCTCTAACAAAGTATGTCTTACAGAAATATATACTGCAAGCTTCTTTTTAAATCAGAGAGAGTTTAAAAGTAACAGCTAGCAATAGTAAACGGAAAGCTATCCCATTTGTGCCATTTCTCATGAGTTTCTGTGGCACAGTAACATTACGTAAGAGGAGAAATAGGTTGACTTTAACACAATTAAATTCTGACTTTCCAAGCAAAATGTTGTCATCAGTATACACAGCAACCTAGCAACGTACACAATGGGCTTTTAGCATCTCCTAGGATTTGGTTGCAAGACTCTGCATGGATACCAAAATTAGTGAATACTCAGGTTTTGTTATATGGAGTTGTAAAATGCTGTCCCTTATATTAAAATGGAAAAATCAAACTTTGCTTTTTGATTTTTTTCAAGCCATGGATGATTGAATCCATGGATACAACTATACCTAACCCATTAGCAATATTCCACCTACTTAATCATGAACATACACTCTACAAGTGTTGAAGCACGTGAACCAATAATTGTGATTATGTGAACCAAATTCCCCATTTGCACACAGAATCCTCCTCACATACTCCCTTTTACTTACTTTATTCCTTAATTCATGCAATTATTCATTACACACGTACGTGTACAAGTTGGATCCATTCCTGACCAGCCCAAATTGTATTGGCAAACTCTTGCTGGGCTTCCCTGCATGTCGTAACCACCAATGCAGGAAAATTCACAGGTTGCTCCATAATTATTGCCATCACCAGAACATTTTATGTAGCCATTTTCTGGAGCATTCAGTTTCCCACAGCGCCTGACTTTAAACACAAAACAGGGGCAGTACATAAATTGCTGTTTCTTCTTACACAGGGCCCTTCCACACAGCCATATAACCCAGAATATCAAGGGAGATAATCCACAATATCTACTTTGAACTGTATTATCTGAGTCCACACCGCCATATAACCCAGTTCAATGTGGATTTTATATAGCTGTGTGTGAAGGGGGCCATAGAAAGAAATGACTACAACATGGAGTAATGCAAGATTGTTATCACATTTCAGAAATACCTGCACCCTTGGATTTATAGTTAATTTAATATATATAAGAGCCAATGGTGACCTTCTGCATCCAGAACATTCAACAGGATCAGAAAGGTAGCAATACCTCCCAACCGCAGCCCCTTGTGACCAGTTCCAAAAGGCAGAAACACCTCTAGTGATGTGGCTAGAGATATAAACCTTCTGAAAAATGTAAAGTGAACATGGGAAATTTGTCCCCTCTCCCCTCCCCAAGGCATGGAAAATATGGAAATTGCTGTGGCACCGTGTAGCATTTACATATTGAAAATCACTTCAGTGCTTGAGAGAAAAAATGTATTATGCATAATTTTGTTTGGCATAAAACTGATTATACCAAGTATATCAAAAGGAAATTGAGTCAGACAATAATTTCAAATCATTAATTAAAAATTACATTTTGTTACATAATTTCTATGTCAACAATGATTGTGGGAACAAAAATGTAATACTTAACCAAGCTATCTTATGCAGTTCAATAATGGAAGAGCTGAGAGAAAAAATAGTTAACTTTGAACCACATAAACTGTATGGGTCCTGGCAATACCATTTGTGACACTTAGTCAATTAAAAACTAAAACAAGCAATACAGAATGAACATAACTTCTGGACTCCACTACAGCAGGGTGGGGAGGGAAGTGGTATGCCAGGCCATTTTTGTCTCAGGGTCTCCCAAAATCTAAACAAAGTTTTAGCCAGTATCCTTTTGGGTGTACTATGAATGGACAATCTTTCCATGCCTTTGGCCCTGCAAACTATTTAGGCCCAGGAGGGCCTTTTTTCTCCTGACCCAGAAATTGACCTTGCAGTCATTTTCTGTTGAAAAAAAGTGAGCCCTGGACTGAGGAAGGGAATGCTTATCCACCTCCAAGCACTCTAGTAAGAGTGCTGTATTGCATTTTGAGGCAAAGAAATCTGTATCGGGCACACAGAATTTGGTGCAATCCAGTATCCAGCACCATTTGCCATCCAGTCATTAGTTTTTAACATTCTGTGTTGCATGTAAAAATTATTTTTTAAAAGAAACAGTTGTTCCATAAGATGGAACCAAAATGGAGGCCCTGTTATTGAAGAAACTCCTTAGGAACAAGACTGCTAGTCACCTACGGATGCCCCTTGCAGTTACTTCTTACTCTTTTGTCTTTGGACACTTGAACATAGCTGGATAACTCCACTAAGAAGAATTTGACAAAGGAAAAAAAGGAGCATATCACTTTAAACATTTGTGTAGCAAATAATGTTGATATAGCTGGAAACACTAGCACACATACAACAATTAAAATGTTTAATCATCTCAGGTGTTTGTGCATGAGAGAGAGAGAGAGAGAGAGATCTAGCCTTTTTACCACCTCTGTGGAAACATCCATGTTCAATATTTGTGGGGTTTTTTTTTTCTAGGAACCAAATATTCTTACCTTTGACTTTGACCAAGAATTTGCATGTTCCCTTATTCCCAGCTCTGTCAAACACAGTGTACTGAATTTTGTGATCACCTTCTGAAAAATATGATCCTGGTGGCTGTCCTTTCAAAGTAACACTAAAAAACAAAATAAAGACAGACTAAGGAATGGAGCTGTAAGAATGGCTTTTTAGAAAACACAAGCCTAAATGGTTGGTGCTCCCCTGTACCACAAATGCACAATATACTTTTTTCCAAAATAATCCCACTGGCTGCAATACATAACCAAAAATACATTCAGCTCTGTTGAAGTTAATAGATCTACTCCTAGTTCCTAAATTGCATATGTAGTCAAATTTATTTTATTGCTATCTAGGAAACTAGGAGTCCTTCCACACAGCCACATAATCCAGAATATCAAAGCAGATAATCTACAATATCTGCTTTGAACTGGATTATTTGAGTCCACATTGCCATATAATCCAGTTCAATATGGATTTTATCCAGATGTGTGGAAAAGGTCTAGGAATAAATATCACATAAACCTGTTGGTGAATATTTGCCACAGAGGTTGGATACATATTAAATGTAGTTCTAAACTCTACAGCTTGCCTATGTGATGTAGGAAGAACTATGTTGGATCAGGACAAATGTCTGACTAGTCAAGAATTCAACTCACACTAGAAATGTACTCACTTTAGATGCTAGCTGGTACAAAACAGTTGGTAGCAAAAGCTATCATAGACTAAGTCTACTCCACTTCCACAGAGCTGTAATTATTCAATAATTTTCTTTAAAGAAACCGCAATTAATGTTTATAAAGTCTATGAACACTGTACAGAGTAATGCTGTTTCATGTCCAGAAAATGTTTTCCATGCGAAGTTTGTGCGGATTGAGGGCCCGTCCAGGCAGGCTTTAAAACTGAGACCTGTCTGGGTTTTTACTGGGGGATTCCAAACAATCCTCTCAGTAAAAATGAATTAATTTGGAATAACCTCAGTTATTCATAATTAATTAAATACACCACTTTCCCCTGGCATTACGTAGGAATCATTGCACTTAGGAATCATGAGCCCAAACCCATCATGTTGTTGTTCAGCAATATTGTTTTTATCTTGTATTTATGATGTTGTCTGACTATTATGTTTATTGATTTTGTTATTGATTGTATTTTCTGTGCTTTTTTTTAACCTGTATTTGTTAGGCATGTCCCTTTGTAAGCTGTCCTGAGTCCTTTTGGGGAGATGGCCTTTCTGGATTGCCTGGATCTATACAACAGCAATAATAATAACTATTATTATTATTGCTGTTGTATAGATCTGGGCATTCCAGAAAGGCCTGGATCAAATGAGGGTATTGGGCCTGTGGGGACTCACCCCTAGGTAGTTCCAGGACTACCTGGAACTACTTGGGGGTGAGTTCCCATTTGCCATGCTGAACCTTTTGGACTCCTGAAGCCCAAAGGTCTGGGATGGCACCCAACACCTCTCTCCCAGCTCCCCAATTATCCCTTAAACCTTAAAAAAACTTATCCGGCTGCCATTAATACGCTCCTTGCATCCTCTTGAATCAAAGAAATCATGTGCTAGGAGACCAGGGGTGGGGGAGAGGCCGATTTTCCTCTTGGCCCCCTCTTCCTGGTCACCTGGCACATATTTCTTCATGCCAGGAGAACACAAGGAGCACCTTAATGGACATCTAGCCTTTGAAAGAAGAAGAAGAAGAAGAGGAAGAAGAGGAAGAGGCAATCTACTAGGTAAATTTTTAAGAGGGCTTCTGGCATGGCTACATGCAATCCTGATATTAATCATGCAGCCACCCCCTCCCCCAGGAAAGACCAGATTTTTGGAAGAAGTATGGGAACTCAAACCCATGCTGAAGCGGCTTCTTAAACTTGCTTCAGCAAGGGTTTAAGTGATGACTCGAATCACCTTAAACCATCAATTACAGCATTTTCTGTACAGAAAAATTAATGTTTCTGTGCTGCTCAGGAAATACTATTTTTTGCATAAAACAACCACATGCACCTTTTGGTAGAATATATCCTAAAATACAAAGATTCTCATCAGTTCAGGTTTTGTCTGATCAGGGATTCTTATGTTTGAGGAACATGTTTTTGTCCATTTTTGGTCATTTTTAAATAATTTTCTCAACCCACAGGTTGCTTATGGAAAGTTCCCAAATTGGATGTGAATACAACAACACACAGGCAATAGTTTTCTGTAGTTTAACCTCTTCACTCACTCTGTCAAAATGCCATCAGCTGTGTCCCGTCCCTCTGGGGTGTCCCAAAATACACGGACTGTCAATTTATTGGGCTCTGCTATTTTCTCCTTTATACTTGGACACTGAATTCTAGGAGGCTCTGTGTCTATAAACAAACACATACATAAGTATTACTTTATGGCTTAAAATGGTACTAATAATGAAATATAAACACAGTACAAGCATTACTAAATGGGGGGGGGGATCATTTCTAAGTGTTTCTAAAATATTATAAGGAATCCATATTGCAACTATAACAAATTAACAAAATGTTTGTTACTTTTTCATTGTGTAATTGTGCAAGGGGAGGAGCTCCTGAGGCTCCTTTCTCCCTCATTTTTAGAGTTATCAGAGTGCAACTTGCTACAATGGTAGAACGCATTTACCACTGTAACCCGCATGTTGTTTTCATGAGTAATATATTTTTTAAAAAACTACAAGAGCTGTCTCCTTGAATTTCTATTTTCAATTATACAACATAACCAGACCATCACACACACCCACCCCAAATTTCAGAAATATTTACACATCCACTGATTTTTAGGGAATTTTAACCAACATAAACTTAACAGAATTTAACTGAAAACCCTAGGGACCATCCAGTCCAACTCCCTTCTGGCAGGCAGGAAAAGCACAGCTAAACCACCCCCAACAGATGCACATCTAGCCTTTGAAAGAAGAAAAAGAAGAGGAAGAAGAGGAAAAGGCAATCTACTAGGTAAATTTTGGTGTTACTGCTCTCAACTTTGTCTACCTCACAGGGTTGATTCAACTCCCAACAATCCCATTTTACCACAAAATCCCTTTAGAGAATGCACGTGGGTTTTCCTCCACCAAAACTTTCAAGGAGAAGAAGGAGGCACAAGGCGGTAAGCAGAATTCTGGGAAATGTAGTTTGGGAGGACAAGGACCCCTGTGGCAGAGAATTCAAAAGGTCCCACCCTAAACTACTTTTTCTAGAATTCAGCTCATTTCCCATGTTAAAGCCTCAATATGAGTGTGGTCTCTTCCTGTCTCTGGGCTGGTCATGTGCCAGAGGGGCTTCTTCCTTGCTTGGCCATCCAGCCAGGCATCTTTTCCTTCCATCCTCCCCACTCGCCACCCCCTTTGGGAAAAGAGCAGGGCTTCTCGCTCCACTCTGGCCTTACCATCCTCCACAGGGCCCTTTGGGAAAAGCAAACCCAGTCCTTTTGGGGGAGAAGCAGTGCCCACAATGAAGGCCTGGAGCAATTTACAAGACTTACATAACTCTTCCAAAAGTCATAGGTCCATGTTTTGAATCTTAAGTTGTTGTTTTTTGTTTGTTTGTTTGTTTTTGCATGGGTGCCCTTCGCATTTTTTAATCATAGAATCAAAGAATGGAAGAGACCTCGTGGGGCATCCAATCCAACCCCCTGCCAAGAAGCAGGAAAATCTCATTCAAAGCACCCTCCGAATATAGAGTCGTATGTACAAATCTTACAAAATAGATATGACAAATGAGGCACAAACAAATTTTACACAGCCCTAATGTTTATTAATTAGAGCACTTGCCACATAGATAGCCTTCTACAACACAATACATATTACATTTTCAGCATTTAAAGTGTAAAATAAATAAAATCTTTACACTATGTTAGTTGCTTCTGACTAAAACACATTTGATGTGTTTGCCATAAAAAGAAGGTGGTGACTCTGCATATTATTGCAGTCCTTCTTAGTACAGACTGAGGGGGAAAACATGCCAAATTACAGGTTTTACCAGTTTATAACTGATTGGGCCACTTGTTTACAATGCATAAGAAGAATCATGGGAACAAGGAGTCTATAAGAAAGAAAATTGTGTTCATGAACACAAATCTCAATGTTTAAGACACCATCTAAACATATATATGCTACTGGTAAAGAAAGGAGTAAGAGAAGTATTTGGTGAGCAGTTGCCATTTCAGAATATCAGACTCTCATAATAAAGAACCATAGTTCCCACAGTATTATACAGATTTGGATACATTAAGACAACAGGGTTACTATAGGAACAGTATCCCTAGACCCTCATGATCAGTGAACCCTTCTCTCAGGATAAGAGTGCTTTAAAACAACTGCATAGAAGCAATCATAGGTAAACACAACTCCCATATCCCCCTGTTCATTTATAATAAGAGTGGCATTCTGTGAATTAATGGGATATTTTTTTCCTTGCAGCAATATTACAAAAGCTCAAATTTTACATTTGGGCTATGACAATGTGGACAAAAATGTCAAGACAGTAATAGGCTGTTTCAGCAAGGCCATTCAGTACTGCAAATTACATCTTGGTAACACAAACATGTTCATATTATATGTTTATATTTGATGATACTTTAACATTAGAGATGTGCTGCATCAGCCCAAAAGCCTACTCCAGCAAATGTAGTGACTGATTACCAAGATGACTACAAGAATCCCACAAGCAGAACATGAGAGCTACATATACTGCAATGTATAGATGTCATGATCAGTAGCCTTAAGTAACTTGAATTTGACTACCATGACTTATGCAATGAAACTGAGCACTTAATATCCTGGTGTTGTCAACTGTCATCAACTTGACTTTGATTACAAATGAAAAACCTCCAAGTTACCCTATAATCAACAGTTGTGGCTTCCTTGATTGAGTCTATTCATCTGCATAGCAGTCTTCCTCTTTTTCTAATGTCATCTACCTTATCAAGCCACATTTTAGCCAACACGCCATTCTGTTGCCTCAAATATTAGACCTGTTTTGGGGTATATGTGACCTGCTGACTCCAAAAATGGCACCAGTTTTCTTCTACCAGCTCTAGTTTTTTGAGATATAGAATATATGCCATATATCACTTCATCTGCTTGCCCATAGAACATCATGATAACCATATCTAAGAAACTAGAGATAATACAGTCTATACAATGCAATTTTCTGAATCTGTGTCTCAAATGACCCCAGGAACAGGTCTAAAAGCCAAGACATCAATATTTTTTTTTGTTGGGATGCATTATTGTATTTTCTAGTGTGTCCTGCATTTTCATGATGTGTCCAAAGTACAACAGCTGCAGTTTAGTTACATTGGCTTCCAGGGGAGAGTTTAGGTACCAATGATAAGTTTAGGAAAAAGATGTCTTAATGTAAAACAAGAGGTCAGAAAAGTACAAATGTTTCACTGCCAATAGTGCCACGAACAAGTCAATATAATGTGTTCTCACACATTTATTTAGTCATATGTGTTATGTATTATCTGCATCAAAGTCATCTTCATTTCTTTCACAGCTTATATATCCTCAGATAAATCTGGCCATTAGTTGGTTTTGTGGTGCCAAAGGAGACGGCTGCGAGCAATCATGAACAGCACACTCCTTACTGTAGGATACTATTCATGATCCTTCCCATTCTCCCTTTCCTTGGCCTCCAAATGTAATAGTGCACTGTACTGATTCTATACTTACCAACACAAGAAGCTGGTCTTCCACTCCAGACTTTGTTATCCATGCACTGTACTATGCGGTCTCCTTTTAACTGGTATCCTGGTGAACAATAGTACTCACACCTGGAGTTATAATATGCACCATCTAAACATTTGAACCCTCCATTAGGTGGCATCATAAGGGTTGGGCAACGTTTTTCTAGGAGAAAACCAACATAGAATTATTATTATAGACAGACTTTGCACATACAGCAATTTAAATCAGAGGAAAAGTTTCAAAAATGAGCTTTGTTTCCTAATTTCTTTTTTTTACATGTAAGTGTGATTTCTGGCTAGTTCAAAAATATACAGACATTTCCAAAAAGCTGTTGTACAAATGCAAGTCAATATATTGATTAACTGATAGGCTTGCAAAGAAAATCCTTAGTGGGGAGTTGCTTTCTATTAGCAGTCCCTAATGTGTTTCTCTCTTTTGCTGGTATTGCTTAATATCTTCTGGTACAATTTGTGAGTTTTTTCTCAGTTTAATCAATATGGTATAATTTGTTTAGAAGAGAGAGAGCTCTTCCCTCTTAAAATACTTGTCTTTCAACACACAATATCACGTGCTCTGTGAAACACCATGCACCGTCACTGAACTAAATAAATAGGGTTTGTTTAAATGTTTCATAATGTACATTTTTTAATTCTTTTTCATGCAAAGTGCACAATTAGGCATGAATTCAAACATAAGCAAAGAGGAAAAAGTACAAAAGAAAAAAGTCTGACACACACACACACAGGCTTCTGAAGGTCAGGTGTGGAGAGAGTAACGTGTGTGATGAAATGTGGGGGTCATTTTGGCCAACAGATTACTATCAAAGCAACAATACACTGGGTGGATCCATTTACTCTAGGAGGTGACTTATTTGAGTCATCTTAAGTAGACACACCTTGTGGGCACCTTATCAAGGTGTGTCTTGTTTGTTCCTGACCTATATTTAGGACAAACTGTGATCTGGATTAAACTGGGACAGTGGAATGTGAAAGATCGTACTTTGGGGTACAGGACTTTCCTTCAGGATTTCCACACAACAATTCAATGCTTCTACATGAGGTTACACAGATAAACTAAGTTAAATAATTTGACTAAAACTTGACTTTTATTTTTACTCACACACTAAAATGCAATCAGAGGCTAGATGGCCAGAAGCACTGAAAATAAAACAGGATTTTCTACATGAGCCACTCACGTTTGCACAAAACTTTCCCAGACCAGCGTTTGTCTGACTGACACATAAGCTGCTGAGGACCATGCAGTTCATAACCTTTCTGACAACGTATGTCACATTTTGTCCCCAAGACATTTTTGTAGTACCCTCCATGAGGGCTTCTGCAACTTGCATAGCCATTTTTCACCTTGATAGGAGAACACCAGGGTGTATCTGGGAAAAGGAAGAGAAATAGGAATACATTAGAATAACAAGAAATCAAATATACAAAGCAATGGGATATGTTAATTGGTGGGGATGGGTTGAAGTTTATTGAGAATATAGAATTACACAGAAGAAAATGCAGAAATGTGTCACTCCTCTCTCCAAATTTACTATAGCAAAGGCAAGGTGTGTCCTGTGGTGAACTGTAAATCACGTTGGTATTAAAGTTTGCACTGAAACCTTAAAACTTAAAATCAAAAGGATAAGTGGCAGGATGAAGGCTCATCTCTTACTTCAATGTTTGTAGGTGAAGTCTGCCACCATGTGGACAGTCAGAAAGATTAGAAGTCCACCCACTCAAAAGGGAAAGTTATCTGCTATCAAAATCAATTGTGAATGAAAAGGGTGCAAGCTTATACTCACATATCACTGAAATTAATGGAATTTACTTCAGAGTAAAGATATATAGGAATCTTCCGTTACTCTGTTATTTTACAGAATTTCCTGTAGAACAAAGCATTACACCGGTGCTATGTTGTAGATTTTTTTTTTAAATGCAACTGTCCACAATTAAGGCAAATCCTCTCCTTTAAAAAAAGTTTGTTCCTGCAATCCAAAATTTGCTACTTTGATTCTCTCTGTTTAAAATTTGTTACCCTATACATCTAATTGGAAGCCCCATGACTATGTAATATGTAAAATGTGCTTCTGAGTGCACAACAACCAACTTTCATGTCATGTTGACCTAGTTGGATTCATGTGCTTATAATGCACCTAAAGTTGAAGCAATCACATTTATTGAAGACCCTGAGTAACAAAAAGTGGCAGAAATATATTTTTCAATTTGCCCAATGTCACATTTAAAAATAATCCACAAAAACAGTCAGACAAGAAAAGAGTTTGGCATGATAAGAGAGAATACATATGTGTGAGAGACATAGTACTACAGATTATCCTGTAGTTTGCAAACTGGATGTCTAAGTGCAAGGTCAGGGAGACTGCATTACAACAAATCTACTGAAAAGCTGGCATGAATCACTCAGTGTTTGGCTTGAATGCAGGATACCATAGAGTCTCACTTATCCAACATAAACGGGCCAACAGAAAGTTGGATAAGTGAAAATGTTGGATAATAAAGAGGGATTAAGGGAAAGCCTATGAAACATCAAATTACATTACGATTTTACAAATTAAGCACTAAAACATCATATTTTACAGCAAATTCACTGAAAAAGCAGTTCAATGCAAAACAACATTATGTAGTAATTATTGTATTTACAAATTTAGCACCAAAGCATCACAATGTATTGAAACAGCTGTGGATCTGGGCAGGAAGCAGACTGCGTTGGATAATACAGAATGTTGGATGAGTGAAGGCTGGATAAGCGAAACTCTACTGTATAGTCTTTTGGTTGTTGGACTTGCAATTCTTACTTATTTAATAACTTTATTTTTATTCCACCTTTCTCCTGATACGGACTCAAGGAGGCCAGTACTTCCAATAATTGGTTCCCATTGCTGCTAAGGGTTGATGGAGTTGATGCCCAACAACATCTAGAGTGATGCTCTGATTTATCGGGACTAGCTCTGCAAAACTTGTGCACTTGCACAGAGGATTGGTGGAGCACTTACTTACTACTGAACGCTACAGGAACAAACATGGTTCTATTGGATCAAGGGACAGTCAGATCCTTTAATTCAATAATATATCAGCATTCCTGCTTACTGCTTATATAGCTATATATACCTGGCAGCATCAATGTAGTTGAACTATGACTCTTGAAGCCAAGCTCAGATACCCATTCCATCTTGGAAACCCACTGAGTAACCTTGGGCAAGTCTTAGACTGAGGAAAGCAAAGGTAATCCGCTTCTGTACAAATCTTGCTAAGAAAACCTAGTGTTAGGTTCACTTTGGGGTCACCATAAACTGAGAAGCAACTTGAGGGCATACAGCAAAAATATACTTACCCACACACCTCATAGATATTGTATGTCTTCCTCTATATAGCATCAGGTATAGGTGGAATGGAGGACAATTTTTACAGGAACAGACACACACACACTCACAACACACTTATGTTAATTAAGGTAACAGTTTAGGGAGTCATACTGAAAATGGTAAGTGAAAAACTCTCTCCCTCTGGAGGCCAGAACCGCCCCATCCATCCTAACATTTAGGAAACAGGTGAAGACGTGGCTGTGGAGTCAGGCCTTCGAGGAATGAGACAACACCATAGGACTCTGGATGGAAGTGGATATAGATCCATCTTATTAGGACGACTGACCACTGTAGTTTTATATTTAGTGTTTTTAAAGTTGTTTTGTAATTTGTGATATATGATATTTTAATGAATGTATATGTTTTTATGGCTGTAAACCGGGCTGAGTCCCTCGACGAGGTTGAGAAGCTCGGTAAACAAAACTGTGAAATAATAATAATAATAATAATAATAATAATAATAATAATAATAATAATATAATAAAAACACCTTTCTACACCCTAAAGTTGGCCTCTGTTTTACTGCTTGTATTACTGCACGGCAAAAGTGAAGCTAAAGGTGAATTACAAGTTCACATATAGCAACTGTTTGAAAAAAACAGGAAATGGCAAAATGGGACAATTGTTTAATTAAATTTGTAATAATATAATAAATTTGTGCTCTGGAGACCTGTAAAGGATGAGGAGGCAATAGTCCAGCATCAGCCCAGGGGGGAAGGGACTACTCTGTGGCTTGGATCTTTGAAGCAAGTTTGCCTGTCATAACTGTTATCATTGAGGAGTCTATTCACACCGAGAAAGAGGAATTATAGCTCAGTTGTAGGGGCATTTGCTTGCATAAAGAAGCTATCAGATTTGGTCTTTTACATCAGTTGAAAATGGAATTAATCTTCTGCAAAACAATGTTTTAGAGCAGTTCTTAAGCATGCAAATTCCCTTCCCACTCAAATGAGTGATACAGACTAGATATAACAAAAGGGCTCCAATTCACCAATAGAACTCACACAAAAGTCCCAGATCCACACCCTGATTTCTCCAGCTAAAAGGAGAAGCGAGGTAGGCAGAAGGGATGTAGACTCATGAGGAACTATTGTAACTCTTTTAAAACAGGCATTGGGCAATTAACAGACTGTGCAAAAGTATCTTTTAAAGGAGGCACAAATGTTGTACTTTTATTTTCTCTATTTTTAAAATGCTTTATGTTGTTTTAAATTAGTAGAATTTCAACAAGACAGTCTATTTAACTTTTTAAAAATCAACATTATATTTCACATATACTTTGTTGTAATCTGTCTTGGGTCTAAGGTAAGAAGAAAGAGATATAAAATACATTGATAAAATACATACATATTGAACGTTGTCCAATTGCTTCTACTGCTAGTGTGAGATGATGAAAAAAATATTGGGGCTTTGGTTTGTTATTATAATCTAGCACTCTGGCATAATGCAAAGTCACAAAATGGGGGAGGCCTGGCTCAACAGCAGTACTTGTGAAAAATAGTTAAACATGAGCCAACAATGTGATGCAGCAACTAAAAAGCCAATGAGATTTGGGCCTGAATAAATAGGAGTATAGTGTTTAGTTCCACGGAAGTCATGTTACCTCACTATTCTGTCTTGGTCAGACCACACCTGGAATACTGTATCTAATTCTGGGCACCACAATTCAAAGGAGATATTGACAAGCTGGAATGTGTCCAGAGGAGGGCGACTAAAATGATCAAGGGTCTGGAGAACAAGCCCTATGAGGAGTGGCTTAAAATGCTGGGCATGTTTAGCCTGAAGAAGAGAAAGCTGAGAGGAGACATGATGGCCATATACAAATATGTGAAGGGAAGTCATAGGGAGGAGGGAGCAAGCTTGTTTTCTGCTGCCTTGGAGACTAGGATGTGGAACAATGGCTTCAAACTAAAGGAAAGGAGATTCCACCTGAACATTAGGAAGAACTTCCTAACTGTGAGAGCTGTTCAGCAGTGGAACTCTCTGCCTCAGAGTGTGGTGGGGGCTCCTTCTTTGGAGGCTTTTAAGCAGAGACTGGGTGGCCATCTGTCAGGGATGCTTTTAATGTGATTTTCCAGCTTTTTTTCAGGGGGTTGGACTGGATGGCCCATGAGGTCTCTTCCAACTCTATGATACTATGATCTCTTTCCCATAGCAGATCAGTAATGTCCCATGATACGTTCGTTTATTTCTCCACTTATCAAGGGGAAAATAATCCAAACAAAAGTAAAAATATGATGTATAAGAAACCATTATAGCATGAAGACAAAAACAATAAGTATTTGCTGAGTTTCTGTATCATAGCAGTTAACTGTTGGTCCACCTGAAAAAGAGAAGTTCTCTTTTCTTGAATGCATCAGTATGCAATGGCAGAGTATAATTTGAAACAAAAACATTTAGACTAAACCTTATTCAACTGTTTGTTTTGTTTTTGTTTTTTGTTTTTGTTAAAGATAACATAGTGTACTTGTTCCAACATTATGCTGTCTATTTGCCAAGCCTTTCTTTGGCAATCAGTATCACTCCATGGTGCTGGAAACATTCTTTCTTTTTCCTTTCCTTTTTCTTCTTTTTTCTCCTCTCTTTCAGATATGACAGGCAATCTTTGTACCTCATTTGTGACTATATTTAGCTATAATACACATGAACATATGAATCTCATTTGCTCTTTGATGTTTCATTATCAAAACTAATGTTCATACTATGAATGCATACAGCGGGTGGTAAAATGGTACTTTCTAATGCTCTTATTTTAGTTTGCCATGCTATTTTTCAGGCTTTTACATTCTGTACTTCACCCCTGATTGTTTTGTTTTCCAGTGAAACTCTACTGAATATGTTAAAAGGATTTTTTTTGGTACTTCTTCAAATCTCAATACACAAATAACTTCCTCTGGTTTCCCAGGGCTTCCATTTTGTTCCACTTCTGCCAGCCCTTGCCACAAGAGTTGGGTAATTGAAGGAATCAATGTCATATTATCCAGTTGCCGTGGTAGGACCATTCCCCTTTTCCTTTCAGTTTTGGAAATAACTATAGTTGGTGTTACATTCACACCACCATTTTGATGAGTCACAGTACAATCCACAGTACTGAATACAGTGTGGCACACTCTCATCCTTGGGGAATATGTCCCAGGGCTTCACAAGAATACATCAACCCTTTGGTTGGGGGGGGGGGGGGGGGGGTCAACCTGTGCGTATATCTTGAGTCTCCTACAACCTGCCTTGGGTCCCAGAAAAAATACTAACTATACACATGTATGCACACATCTAGTGGTAGCAATGCCACTTAAATCAACTTCAGCGTTAGGTTATAGCATGACAAATTGTGGAAATGTTGAAGTGGGATGGCAGGGATTTGATATTATATATTTTAACTATAATAATTTATGGAGGCAGTTGATCAGAGTCAAGCCAAAAGACCCTGAGATTTCAAGAGATAATATATTATTCAAATCTGTGGATGATCAATTCCACAAATGTTAAATCCACAACTGTGGAGGGCCAAATGTTATAGTACCAAATGCTGCCCCCTTCATAAAGGCTGTGAAATTACATCTCTATATTTAGGAGTGCGTGGCTGGTAATTAGTACACATTTCATTGGAAGTGAAGAGGCAGGAAGACCATTACTTTATGGTTTGTTTGTTTTTTTAAAAAAATCAAGCACATACACTTTTTATTTCAATGCAATATTAACTGATGCAGATCAGAGCCAGATCAGATCAGTGTGGGGTGTTTCTTCTTGTCATGTTGTTATATAATATAAGAAAAAGAAAGACGTAGCTTATTTTTCATTAACTGCTTGATCTCTGAAGCCAAGGAATTAGAAACTTTATAATGCAAAGCAATGCTGAATAGTTTTTGGAATTCCAACACAAAGAAACATTGGCCACTTTAAAACTATGATAATTCAGGTACACTTTCATTACAGTCTATAGCATTATCCATATACTCTGACCAAGGATGATAAACCAGGAATTGTGCAAGCCATATGCGGCATCTTAAATTCTATGTATTGTCGAAGACTTTCATGGCTGGAATCACTAGGTTCTTGTGGGTTTTTCGGGCTATAGGGCCATGTTCTAGAGGCATTTCTCCTGATGTTTCACCTGCATCTATGGCAAGCATCCTCAGAGGTAGTGAGGTCTGCTTTTCAGTCCCCAAGTGCCCCCTACCCACTTACCCCCACCCCTCAAACCCTTCCACATACATACACTTAAACAGAAATAAAGCTGAATTTTTATCTGAAAATCCATCCAAACCGAGACAAAATGTGAGCCTTCCTTTTTTCCCATAATCCCTTGAAAAGTCATAAAATCCATCTGTTTTAGCTATTTTGGACTGAATTTCAGAGATTTGCTCTAAGATGTGATTCCCTGCATCAGACAGCCTGAGTAGCAATTGCAAAGTTCACAAACATACTATGTGGCAAACGCCATGTTTTGTGAGCTTTGTGGTTTATAAGTTGCTCAAATTACATATAGCTCCCTGTTCCCATTTTGAATGGCATGATGTGGGTGTGTGAACTTCAGAATCATAATAGATTATCATACCTTCTAGGACTAGGTCAATTATGATACTGCTGTACTAAACCAGAATACGTGATGCTGTTGATTCAGCATTTCTCAGGTTACTAAATAGGGACAACATGAGCAAGTTGAGAAAAAAATGCCACACATGAATTGTACACAATCATAATTTATGAGATACAAAATATTAGAAGTGCTTTAATTTTTTATAGAAAGGCAAGCTATAAATCAAATACATATTTATGGATTAAAATATTTTTGGTGGAGCATCATGGTAAGTGCAGACTGCACCACTACAGCTACTTGTAGCATATAGTAACAGAAAGTGTGCAAAAATGGACAGTGCAGACATACCCTAAGCTGTCATGCTTGAGGCAGGAAAAGAAAAAGCTCTCTTGGCAACAGATGATCCTTATTAGTATATAAGCAAAGCATTCACCTTTATATCTATTGCGTGCATACACATCTTCATCATCTTCAAGGGGTGAGTATCCTGATCCTACAATACAAAAAAGAAAGAAAAACAACTGCAGCAAAAAGGAAATATAATACATTGGGGGGAAAGAAGGAAAGCTCCTGCAAAAATGAGCAACGTGAGGACTGGGATATAACAAACAAACCTAAAGAAAAATAAATTGCATAAGCATTTATGCTTCTTAGAATTTGCAGCAAAATCAGTTTATAGTGAAATCAGTCAAGTTGTGGATCTAACTATGTTTAAACTGTTTTCCAAAATATAACGGATCAAGGAATTCATATGGTAGGTGAAGTATGTCACAAATGGGAATCTTGTTAAGTCTCAAAAAAAGATTTCACTATAAGATGGTTCAAGAGATACAAATGGATGCGCAGCCGCCATAGCAATCAGATGCGGAAGCAGAATCTGAATGTAACAATCACCCCAAATTGATATGACACATGGATATTCAACTCTGCCTCTGCAGCCAGAATGATTGTTACATCCATTTTACCATGATGCTATTCTGGCTAATCAAAATAGCATCCTCTTTAAATATTAAAGGGAAACAACTGTACGCAAAAAGACTTACCTGGATGGGTTTGGAACACTGTAACATGAACTTGCAGCAACACCTAACAGATCCAGAGACTTGACTGTAATTAAGCAATCTTAATGCACCAATAAATGCAATATTTTCAGTATTAGACTTTCTATGGGCAAAACAATGGTGCCCTCTGCTAGGAAAACCAAATCTCTCATATCCATCACCTAGAATGTCCTTAATTGATGGGATAGGGTATGTAACTCCCTAGCAGAAGATCAATATTATTATATCAGCTATTTGACAGGCACAGATAGGCACCTATTTGACAGGCATGGATGGGAAACTTACCAAGTGCTCAGACAAAAAGTCTCATGTGCATAAAAATGTTCATAATCAGTTCTAGCATGCAAGGAGCCACGATTTGTGGCGATGTTCAAATTCTATTGCCACACCACTCAAAAGAACACTCATCTTGAAATGTGACTAAATATCATGTGGTTTCTCAGAAGAAGAAAAAACATTCCAAGCTCCCCACAATGCAACAGCTAATGATGGAGAAGCTGTTCTCCATGTGTCCCCCATCAACCACTACTATGTAACATCACAAAGAAATGACAGGCACAGTTTAAGGAAGACTCTTAGGACAGAGCAACATTTACGAGTTAAACTCAACAGTTTTTCATGCTGGTAAGTATACAGAGTCCTCTCAGCAGACAAACCAATGGATTCCCCAAGGGTGCTCTCTCTCTCTCTCTCTCTCTCTCTCTCTCTCTATATATATATATATATATATAGTGCAAAACACTTCTGCAAAATCAATATGAAATTTCTAAAAGAAAAAGGCACAAATTTCACTTGACTATCCAAATATGATTAACTTAAGAACAGGAACTAGTGCTGTATTGTGGTGTGAGGGTTCAATTGAGACTCTGGAAGGCCAGGCTTTGAATCCCTACTCAATCATAGAAACCTACCTTGGGCAAGTCACATTCTTTCAACCCCAGAAGAAGGCAGGGACTTTAAAAAAATTGAAAAAGGAGCAATATCCTGATGTAAGATTCTGGATCATCTTGTAATACGCCTTCTAGGTGTTTCCAGGGCAAACCTAAGGCAAACCTAATACAGGATTTTTTGGCAAGATTTGTCCAGAGGGGGTTGCTATTACTTTCCTCTGAGGCTGAAAGGGTATGTCTTGCCCAGGGCCACACAGTAGGTTTCCATGGCTAAACAGATATTTGAGCCACGGTCTTTTGGAAACTAACACTCAAAGTATAATGCTATTCTGGATTTCTGCCTGGTTCATCTATGACTCGAATAATGAGTAAAAATAGAAATGCATGTATTATATTTTAGTCTAGATCCCAGATTTATTGATTCAGAGAGATTATTAGTTTATTGCAGTAGGCCTGATATGTTATGCAGCAGTAATGACTTTCCTTTACTCTTTTTCAGTCCTTCCCCCTGAACCTGCCTCTGTTCCCATTTTAACAAGCACAGTTTACTTTGCCTTCTCCTCTTGTTACTTTCTTTAAAACTGCTGATGCCAGCAGACATGCTGCCATGTCAACAACTCCATGGCAGAAAATACTAAGCTTGCTAGAATTTTAAAGCACATTGTACTGTATCAGGTTTAAATAACAGTTTCCAAAGGCTTTGAAGATGTTGCTAAAGAAATGTTTGCCTCGCACTGCCTTGTCATACTTGGCAGAATCCTGAGATTAATCTTGAGAGAATTTTCAACAAAATGTGTCACTTTAAATATTTTTTCTTTAAATAATTAGATTGATTACTCAGACCTTTCCAAAGGTGACTCACCAGAGAAAAACAGCCTGGAGTGCAAAATCTAAAGAATAGTTTGTTCTTCAATTGTTCTTTACATAAATGACCAAGAATTAAATTCTGATCCAGTGAAACATATAAATCTGTGTTTCATTTTAAGACACCATTTTGCTCTCCTCCATGATGCTCCAAGACTGCAGTTCAATATTACATTCCTTGTAAGTAGGTCTGGTTGAACTCAACTAGAATTCCTTTTGAGAAAGCATGTATGGGAATGCAGTGTAAACCTTTTACTTTAAACCACATGCAACCAATAGAATTAGACAAAAATTCTGAATAAGGAAACATACTTTTTGTTATCTCCATTTACTGACACCAAAATGCAATAAATCTTCAGGACCAGTGTCCTGTGCAACAATCTGCCATCATTACCACTATCTGTCCGAGCTAAATCCAGCAGACTGATTATTTTAGGTACCATTTAGTGTTGTGGTTCCACAATATGTCAACACACAGTTACTGAGCAATTGAGCCAAGCATAAGAATCGGTTGTATTTTCCCAAAACAGCATCTGTTGTAAGTGTGTCCTGGATGAGTACCACAATCAGATTATCTGTTGTAAACTGGATTATATGAGTCTCCACTGCCAGATAATCTGGGATAAACAGATAATCTGATATCAGGTCCTGGGATATAGGGGCAGTGTTGAAGGGGCCTTCAGCTCAGTAGTCAGTAACAGAGAAGGCTCGCTGCTGAATTGTAAAAGCAGCAGTAGGGTCAAGGATATTTATAGCTAGGGCTGAAATTATAATTTCCCTTGTCAATGTACATGAGAGCTCAATAGTTGCTGCCTAAATTTAGTCAGGGGGCCACTATGGCTGACAGGAAGCTCTGGCGTAGGCTGGTCCACGAGGTCACGAAGAATCAGAAACAGCAACAACAAATTTAGTCAGAAATGCCTTAAAGGCACATACCACCAACATGCCTACATGATTTTAATCAGGAGACCTTATCTTCTAGGGGAAAATCTTGACCCTCTGTATGGACTTCATCCCACAGGATAAGTAAAATGAAGTCAATTTAGTTTTCTCTTAAGATTCACCACACCCTATTTTGAAATTAAACAGAAGATTTTCCTACTCCCATCACACCACCCTTTTCTCTGCTTTAAGATTTATCCATTTGATTTGCCATCACATGGGAGACATATGTCTCTTCCCACTGTTTCCTCCCCCGTCGCTTGCCCTCATTCCCTTCGGTTAGACCAGAGTTAAGGCATTAGTGTTAAGAAACCACTTTTTCTGAGGTCGTTTGCCCTTAATGCCCTTCCAATGAAGCTGAGCTCAGGCATGCTTTTTAAACACTTATTTACAGTGGGAGCCACACGATCTGAAGGAGCATTAGCCCTTGATATTTATATATATACTAGCTGTCCCCTGCCACGCATTGCTGTGGCCCAGTCTGTTGATCTGGAAAATAAAGTAATGAGAAAGTGTTGGTTTTGAATATATGTAATCTCTTTATGTTTGTGGGTAAATAGTATTCCTTGTTGTTTCTTTGTCAGTGTTGATGTGGAGAGTGCCCAGCCTGGAACATGCAACATATCATTGTCTTTCTTTAAGGGTCCCTTTCAAATCTAAGATACTATATCTCTGTGTGTGTGAATCATATCTATCTATCTATCTATCTATCTATCTATCTATCTATCTATCTATCTATCTATCATCTATCTATCTATCTATATCTATCTATGCCTGGATGGCTCTTTGTCAGGAGGACTTTGATTACATGTTCTTGCAATGATGAAGGGAGTTGGATTGGATGGCCTTAAGTATTTTCTGTTGGTCATGGGGTTTTTTGTGGGAAGTCTGCCCCGATTCTGTCGTTCATGGGGTTCAGAATGCTCTTTGATTGTAGGTGAACTGTGAATCCCAATGACTACAACTCCCAAATGTAAAGGTCTACTTCCCCCAAACTCCATCTGTGTTCATATTTGGGTGTATTAAGTGCTTGTGCCAAGTTTGGTCCAAATCCATCATTGTTTGAGTCCACAGTGCTCTCTGGATGTAGGTGAACTACAACTCACAAACTCAAGGTCAGTGCCCACCAAACCTTTCCAATATTTTCTGTTAGTCACGGGAGTTCTGTGTGCCAAGTTTGGTTCAATTCCATCGTTGATGGAGTTCAGAATGCTCTTTGATTTTAGGTGAACTATAAATCCCAGCAACTACAACTCCCTAATGACAAAATCATAATTTTTTGAGTGATAGTCACTCCTTGTGTTATGAGATCTTGTGTTGCCAAATTCGGTGTGATTTTGTTCATTGGTTCTTTTGTTTTTAAGGTACTCACTATGCACAGAGCATATCTATCTATCTATCTATCTATCTATCTATCTATCTATCTATCTATCCTTGGTTCTAAAGATGATGGTGGAAGAAAGAATTCAATATTGCCCATGTTGGTTCCTCCCATGACAATGTCACTGTTTTATTTTTAAATCAACTTAGGAACCATGGCAAAAAACCCACACTTTCAAAATGGTGAAATACCTAGAACCCACAGTTGAGGCTTGCGTCATGTGATGCAACAACACCTGATGCAAGCTTCTTTTCAACACATCATTTTCACTTATTTGATTTTCAGTTGTGTCTTACAATTAAGATAGGATAATCAATAAAGGAAGAGATAATGACTGCAACGCATATAACAGTTGTCAACATATTCTTATATCCTTACCTGTGCTAACAACATTTTGGGGTCAGCAAAATATCTCATTCCTTTTC